GAGCTTTGGGGGCCGTTTTGGGTGCCTCTTGGGCCCCCGTTGGGAATATGTTGGGCCGTCTTGGGGTCATCTTGGGCCATTTTGAGGCCCTCTTGGCGCCCCAAGAGGCCCAAGAGGCCGAATTTGTTGATTTTTCATAGGTTTTTGTATGTTTTTAGGGCCCCAGAGAAGGGGGGTAATTTTGGTCCGGCGGTGTGGCGCAGCTCCCAGGGGGGGTTAGGGGGGGTGACATAATAATGTAACACAATACAACATGTTGCTATTATGGAATCTTTGGATACACTGGATACGTTGCATTAAGGCGTTCGCCGAAAAACGCTGCCGCTCAGCACGTCACCTCCGGACGTGGATTCCTCTCGCTTCGCGGGGTACACGTCCAGAGCACGTACAGTCACGTCGTCGCGGGGCCTCTTGGGAGCCTTTTGGGGGCCTCCTGGAGGCCTCCTGGGAGTTTCTTTTGGCCTTTGGGGGGTTTCTTTGGGGGCGTTCCCCCCTCCTTCTTTTTCATACACCCTCCCCCATCTTCCCTTCCATCGCCGGCTCCAATCATGGGCGCCGCAGTGACCAACTTCCACGCGGCTGGCGCTGCGCCGCAGTTCGCCCAAAGGGGGGGAAATTACATTACACACCAGTCGCTGTGTGGCCTTTGGGGGGCTTGTTGGAGGCCTTTTGGAGGCTTCTGGGGGACTTTTTGGAGGCTTGTTGGGGGCCTCTTGGGGCCTCTTGGGGGCGTCTTGGGCCGTCTTGGGGCGCTTTTGCGCCGTTTCGCCCCCTCGGAGGCTGTCTTGGGGGCCTCTCGCGGCCGCATTGGAGCCCTCTTGTGGTCCTCTTGGGCCGTCTTCGCTGCCTCTTGGACCGTTTTGGGGGCCTCTTTGGGTTGTTTTGGGGCCCTCTTGGGCCGTCTTGGGGCCCTCTTGGGGATTTGTTGGGCTGTTTTGGGGCGATTCTGGAAGCTGCTTGGGCCGTCATGGATTTTTGAAAGCCGAAAAAGATGAGAACGCAAAAATGTTGCAAGAACCATCGGACAATCAATGATTTCGGCCTCTGGAGGCGCAGTTATGGGCGCTCTTGGGCCCTGTTGGGCCGTCCTTGGAGCTTTTGGGGCCCTCTTGGGGCCGTCTTGGGGGCCTCATGGGCCCCCGTTGGGAATATCTTGGGCCGTCTTGGGCCGTCTTAGGGCCATCTTGGGCCATCTTGAGGCCCTCTTGGAACCCCAAGAGGCCCAAGAGGCTGATTTTTCATAAGTTTTTGTATGTTTTTAGGGTCCCAGAAGGGGGGGATCATTTTGGTCCGGCGGTGCGGCGCAGCTCCCAGGCGGGGGTTAGGGGGGGAGACGTAATAATGTAACACAATACGATCTGTTGCAATTCTGGAATCTTTGGATACATTGGATACGTTGCATTAAGGCGTTCGCCGAAAAAACGCTGCCGCTCAGCACGTCACCTCCGGACGTGGATTCCCGAACTGCGACGTCTGCAAGGTAGCCCCGCGGCCGCGAAGCACGAAGTACCTGGCGGCGAACAGGCCGTCGTGGACGTGCCCGGCGTGCCCGCGGGTCGGTCAGTGCGTGGTCTGTAGCGCCCCGTCACCAGACGCGGCCAAAATTGGTCGGCGTTCTCTGAACTGGGAAGGGCCGAGGTACACGTGCGACGCGTGCTTCTGGCCGCCATGCAGCGCGTGCAAGAAAACGCCGCGGCCGCACGACCGCTGGTGGACAGTTCGCGCTGTCTCGGACTGGAAGTGCGCAGATTGCGCGAAGACGCGCGAGCGAGGGAAGAGGTGCGCGTAGTCTAAAGATATCGCTCCACCTGCCACCTGCCGCTATCATCAGGGACGTCGTCGTCATCGTGTCTAATTGCGGGAAGAGGCCCGCCTGCGCCCCCGTCGCATGTGTCATCCTCTCGGTGGCAATTTTGGAGGCAGCTTGGGCCGCCATGCCTCCCTCTTGGGGACTTCTTGAGGCCCCTTGGGGGCCTATTTGGGGCATCTTGGGGCCTCTTGGGGGCGTCCTGGCCCGTCTTGGGGCGCTCTTCCGCCGTTTCGCCCCTTCGGAGACCGTCTTGGGGGCCTCCCACGGCCGCCTTGGGGCATTCTTGGGATTTTTTTTGGCCGTCTTCGCTGCCTCTTGGACCGTCTTGGGGGCCCCTTTGGGCCGTATTGGGGCCCTCTCGGGCCGTCTTGGGGCCCTTTGGAAGGCTTCTTGGAGCTTCTTGGGGTGCTTTTGGAGGGTGCTTGGGCCGTCATTGGCTTGTCAGCGTCGAGAAAGGCGAGAACGCGAAACTATTCCCAAAACCATAGGACAATTTATGATTTTGGCTTCTGGAGGCGATCTTGGGGGGTCCTTTTTGGACCCTCTTGCGGCGTTTTGTGAGCTTTTGGGCTCTCTTGGGCCCATCTTGGGTCGTCTTGAGGCCGTTTTGAGATTCTCTTCGGCCGCCTTGAAGCCATCTTGAGCCGTCTTGACGCCCCTTGTGGGCTCCGAGGAGGGCCCAGAGGCCGAAATCAATGATTGCCATCGTTTTTTTTAGGTTGTTGAATTCGTGCACGAAAGGGGTCGGCGACTCGGCGGCGGCCCTGGGGGGGGATTAAGGGGGGAGACATAACAATGTAACACAATACAACATGTGGCACTTATGCAATCATTGGAAACATTGGATACGTTGCATAAGGGCTTCCGCTCCGCTGCGCGACCTGCCTCCGGCAACGCGTCACTTCCGGACGTGGATTCTTAGGCTTACGCCACACCGCCGACCCCTTGTTTATGCCAATCGGGGGGCAGTAGAAGCTGCGAAGGGGTGAAAAGGCGAGTGATATTTGTTTGGTGTCTGTTCGCCGCCACTGCCAGAGGGTCTCGGGCAGTTCCGCGGGGGTGTCCGAGCGGACGGCGACACCGCGGGCGGTCGTGGTCTCATCTGGGGCCATCTGAGAGGCATAATGGAGCCAGGTTGGGCTCGGGAATGTCTTCGAGCCGTTTCGGTAGCGGTCGGGAGTTTTTTTGGGGGACTGTCCAGGAGTCATTATGGGTCAACTTGGCCATGTGCGAGGCCACGGCGCGTGCAGAGGGTGTGCCGGCATGGGGTATACTTGCATGCGAATCTTCCCACTGGGCCCCACGGTGGACGTATTCTGGAGCCACGACACGATCGACGTGTGTGTGCGCTTGGGGTTGGAAGTTTACGGGACCGCGGGTACTGGGGCTATGGTTGGAGCGCGCCGTGAAGCCACGAAATCTATGAGGGACGTGGCCTGCGTGGGCCGTCTTGGAGGCCTCTTGGGGGATTCGTGGCCCGTCTTGAGGCCCTCTTGGGCTCGGAAAAGCCTCGTGAACCGCTCGTCCCGGCCGTGCTGCGCTCGTCCCGGGCCCTCCCGCTCCCCTCCAAATCGGCTCTCTTGGGCCGTCTTGGGGACCTCTTGGGCCGTTTTGGGGCCGTCCTGGGCCGTCTGGAGGCCGTCTTGGGAGCCTCTTGGGCCATCTTGGGGCTATCTTTGGGGCCTCGTCGCCCGTCTTGGAGCGTCGGGTAGCCGGAAAGGCGGAAAAACAAAAAACATCGAAAAACACAATGGAAAATCAACAATTTTAGACTCTTGGGGCGCTCTTGGGAGGCTTGTTTGGGACTTCGGGGGCCGTCTTGGAGACCTCTTGGCCCGTCTTGGGGCCATCTTGGGCGTCTTGGAGGGGTCGTTTGGCGTCTCGAAGCCTTCGTGGGCCGTCTTGGAGGCCTCTTGGGTGCTTCTTGGCCCGTCTTGAGGCCCTCTTCGACCCGGAAAAGCTCTGGAACCGCTCGTCCCGGCCGTGCTGCGCTCGTCCCGGCTCCCTCCCCCCCTCCAAGTCGGCCCTCTTGGGCCGTCTTGGGGACCTCTTGGGCCGTCTTGGGGCCGTCTTGGGCCGTCTGGAGGCCGTTTTGGGGGCCTCTTGGGCCATCTTGGGGCTATCTTTGGAGCCTCTTCGCCCGTCTTGGAGCGTCGGAAAGCCGGAAAGGCGGAAAAGCAAAAAACGTTGGAAAAACACTCTGGAAAATCAACAATTTTAGACTCTTTGGGCCCTCTTGGGAGGCTTGTTTGGGACCTCGGGGGCCGTCTTGGAGACCTCTTGGCCCGTCTTGGGGCCATCGTGGGCGTCTTGGAGGGGTCGTTTGGCGTCTCGGAGCCTTCGTGGACCGTCTTGGAGGCCTCTTGGGGGCTTCTTGGCCCGTCTTGATGCCCTCTTGGGCCCGGAAAACCCCTGGAACCGCTCGTCCCGGCCGTGCTGCGCTCGTCCCGGCCCCCTCCCCCCCTCCAAATCGGCCCTCTTGGGCCGTCTTGGGGACCTCTTGGGCCGTCTTGGGGCCGTCTTGGGCCGTCTGGAGGCCGTCTTGGGGGCCTCTTGGGCCATCTTGGGGCTATCTCTGGGGCCTTGGAGCGTCGGGAAGCCGGAAAGGCGGAGAAGCAAAAAACGTTGAAAAACACTCTGGAAAATCAACAATTTTAGACTCTTTGGGCCCTCTTGGGAGGCTTGTTTGGGACGTCGGGGGCCGTCAGAAATAATCAAAAGATGGTCCAAAAATAGTCTGGGGACTATTTGTGAGTATCTTCTGACCTTTTTGGGGTATGTGGCCCTACAGGGACACGCCCGACATAAGCCCAACGGGCCCGCGCCGGGCTGCGGCAGCACGGGGAGCCAGGCGGCGGCCCGGCAGCACCCGGCGTCGGGCCTCCCACGGTCGGGCGGCGCAGTGCATACAGATAGATCCACCGCTCCCTGGCACGGCTTCCGTCGGGCCCGTGCCACTGCAGGAGGGATATATTCACAAGTAGTCAAACAGTAGTCTGGGGGCTATATTTTAGAAATGAATGGTTTGTATCTTTGCGCATTTTTGTTGATATCGCCCTGGCCCTTGGCCCCCTGGCCCTGGGCATCGCTCGGACGTGTGCATTTTTGAGGAGGAGGAGGAGGAGGAGCAGCGACGACTACCACGAGGTCGGTCGGTCGGTCGAAGGCCCCCCCCCGGGCCCCCGCGGAGGCGCCCCGCGCCTCGGCAGCGGTCCCGGCGGTGCCCGTGCTTGGCCGCGGCAGCACGGGCAGCCAGGCGCTGGCGGGGGCGTCGTCGGGCCTTGGGAGGCGCTCCGCGTTCGACACTTCGCCGGCGTGTCGGGCAGACACTGTTTCGCCTACGGCTTCGCTGGTGCAAGCCGCCGCGGTCCCGAAGAGAAGCGCCCCGCTCATCGACTGTAAGGTTTCTGCGTCGCACACGTCTGCCATGCCTTTTCACATATTTCTTGGATGCATGTGGGTATGGGTACACAGTGTACGCAACATGTGGGTGCGACGTGTGCAGCAGTGTGCTGACGACGACTGTCCACGATTATAGCGATGGCGGGAGCGACTGACGCTCCCAAATTAATACCGGCCTTCCGGATGCATCGGCTTGCCCCCGGCCGTCGCGGCAGGCAGGGGGAGAGCTCGGCCTCGGCCGAAACAGTAAATGCCGCAGACTGGGCTACCCGTATTTGCAAGCAGTTTGGTGGTCCCACTCGCCCTTGCACGCCCTCGGGCGGGAGGGCACGGGATCCGCTTCGAATTCGACACACGTATCGACAGAGTAGGGTGTATCAGGACACTGTGCGTGTGAGTACGATGAACGTGCAGAGCTTGGATTGGACTCGTCTGGCAACCCGGGACAAACTCAGAGACCTCATTGAGTTCTCTCGGGCACAACGGTGGATGATCACAGGGCTAACTGAGATGCACAATGGCACACCGCATGGAGAGGTGGAGTACATTTTTTTCGATGAGTACATGTGGGCTGCAGTAGAGCATGTGGGAGACCAGACAGCCCTTCCAAGAAGGGCAAGACCAAGGGCAAGGGCAAAGGCAAGCCCAAGACGGACAGCACAGACGCGGTCTTGACCTGCCTGGTGCGCGACCACCTGCACATGAGGAATGACGTGGGCAACCTGAAGGCGGCCGCCAACGTGATGATCATCGTGCTGTGCAACACGTTGAAGGTGGATATCGACGAGTCCGCCAAGGCGTGGACGGACAACAAGCCGCAGGACGATACAGCCCACCCGTTTGGATGTGGAAAGCGCACGGTGATCTTCGGTGCCCTGCTGAGCATCTTCGGCAACTTGGAGGAGGGCGCGGGCGAATCGCAGAAGGCCGCGGCGAGGTCGCTCAAGCGCTTGTCGCCCTCCCAGATGGACACGTTTGTGGCCGGATGCAAGTCCCGGCACAACAAGTACGACGAGAAGCGCCCATGGATCTTCACCCTGTCCGTGCGCCCGGGCGTGGACCCCGACCAGCACAAGAACGTGCACGCGCTCGTCGGCATCAACGCGCAGAAGAAGATCCGGGTGGTGCACGAGGCGCCGCGCCAGAGCCCCGAGGCGGAGGCGCTATGGGAGTGGATCAAGAAGCAGTAGATGGCCCTGCTCTGTCGTGTGCATGGCATGACGTCCCCCTGCCTCTCCCCCTTCCGCTTCCCTCGCTCCAGACGTCATGAGCAATTCTTCCAGGAATTCATGGAGCCTACGTCAATGCATCAATTGGTACATCGGCCGTGCATCGTGGCTGTGCGAGAGGCACTCGACGGGGCTGTGGCTACGTACAGTTGGCGGGGGTGGGATCTCTACACATATTCAGTTCTGGGACCGTTGCCATTAAGTTGTGCACCGGCGCGCCACAGTGATATGTTGTGATGCCCATTCGTCGTGCATGATTTTTACATCACGTTCGACGGGGTTGTCTTCCTCGGTGTCTGACGAAGAGCTGGCACTATACCTCGGGACGTGATCGAAGCGGAGGCACCCGCCTACCCCGCCACGCGCGCCCCCGGGCGGAAGGCGAGGAGGCGGGCGAGGGCGCTCGGACAAGGCGGCCCCGGCCGCGCCCCGACGTCACGCGACAGCCACAATTTTCTACTACGAGTGGGCGTCCGGTGCCCCTGCACCACCGGGCGTTGCTTGTGAGACGTTTACGGAGTGCGCCCAGTCCCCCGGGAACAACAGTGGTCAATTCCAACCAAGTGCATTTGCGTGTACATTCACATCTTGCTGTTTTTGGCGTTGCACACCACATCGTGTACTTCAGCTTTATGTCGTTCATGTTGCACACCACATGTTGTATCCGACCGCCCGGTACGCACTGTTTCGATACGTTTGCGGGGTGCTCGAAGTGATTGCTGGAACGTGGTCTTCGCGATGGGAGCAGCATAAACCCCAGGATGCAATCAGTTCCCCTCCCCACCCCCCCTCACCCGAGGAAGTCACAAAGCTTCTGGGGTCAGGGCGGAAGCGATATCCCCCGCATAGTCTCGGGGGCGGCCAAGAGGGGTGTGAGGGCTAGGGCTAAGTCGGGCCTGTCCCTCTACAGGGGGAATATTCAAAAATGGTTAGGAAATAATCTGGGGACGATGTTTTACTATTTCTGACCATGGGGGGGGGTATGTTTTGACTACGCTTAATTTTGCGTCCCAAATCGGCATGTAGGGGGACAGGCCCGACCTGAGACTAGGGGGGGGGGATAGCATGGCGTGGGCCACGATATCTCCCCGGGAGTCATGCCGCCTCTTCTTATCTCAGCGCGTCCCCCCCCCCCCCCACGGGGCCCGCGCACATGCCGCAGGCCATGATTTGCGCCCTCCCCCCTTTGGCAGCCCCCGAGTGCTGCTCGGGCGAGGGTGAAGTCAGCCCCTCATGGATGCCCCCCCTTATGACTTCACCCCCGCTCGGGCGAGGGTGAAGTCATGACGATGCCGAGGCGGGGATTTATCCATTACCACACCGCCTGGTGGATCGATTGTCGCGGACCTCCACGGGTGGATGTAGGCATGTTCCTTTCGCGGGTGGACATAGGTTTTTTCGGGCCCCCGGGGGCCATAACATTTTTTCCCCGTCGAGCTAGGCCGAAAACCTGTGCAGACACATAAATTCAAAGGCGTGCAGACGTGGGGCTAGCGGAGGCCAGGCCCGAGCAAGCGCCACTTCGTCCAGCGACACTTTCGTGCGCAGCCGCTTCTGGGGCCGGATGGTCTCCCACGCCACCGCGTTGGGCGGAGGGGGGACATCTCCCAGATAAAAAGAACCAGTTTCCGTGACATATCCATATCCGTAACGTATCCATATCCGCCGCTTGTTGGGGCACCAGGATGTCGACACATCGCCGCCTCCCAGCGATGCCCTACGATCGAAACGGGTGCGAAAAGAGTGGGTACGAAGACCGACAGCAGCCCCTGACTATTTTGAACCGTGCTCGTGGTCGGTGTCGCCGCGGGCGTTGTCCAGTTTGAGGCAGACTGCCGCCTGCCCACCAGCGGCCGCTGTCGGTACTGGACAGCTCTTGCGGTTGGGCAACGTACCCATTTTTGTCCGTGCCTACTGCGGGCGTCCAACACATTTCTTGCGTTCCAAGAGGGGGCCGTTCCAGACCAGGGCGGGCCTCCCCAGCGTTTGTCGCTCCTCGTGGGGCTCCTGAAGGCTCCTCGTCGCGTGGCCAGATCCGCCTCGAGACACTCAGCTGACGAAGGGCGGTATAAGACTGGTTTCGCCGTCAGGGACGTTTGCCCCATGGCCGTCAAGAACAAAACAACCCCTATCCCTAATGCCAGAGTGAAGACGTGGCCTCCCGGAGGTCCCCGTCTTGGTTGTAGGGATGATGAGTCTGGGCGGTTTAGTTCGACCCCCTCATCCTGGTGTTGTTTTGGCCCTCCTAGCCTCGATCCCCTCCCAAAGGGTTAGGGACCCCATTATTGCAAATCACATGGGCGCTTGGCATCGCTCGGACGTGTGCATATCTTTGATTATTTAGCGGAAAATACACGCGCGAAATCGAAAAATGCACGGGGAATCGACGTCCGAGCGATGGCGAGCTGGGGGCTGGAGCATTTGCACCCCGACGTGCCACCAGAGGGGCCGTACACTTTCCAGTCGCCCCCTGGGGAGGCAGGCGCGTCCGACGGCGGAAGTGTTCTTATGCCGTACCTCCTCCGCGCGCTGAGAGGCGGAGGAGGAGGAGGAGGAGGAGGAGGAGGAGGAGGAGGAGGAGGAGGAGGAGGAGGAGGAGGAGGAGGGGTCGGGATGGACCCCCGGGGGGGGGGATCGGGGGACCGACCTAGAGCGGACGGGGGACCGGGCGGGAGGGCCGCCGTCGCCTCCAGAGCGGCCCTCCTCCGTGTCGTAGCGATGGTGCGTTCCAAGAGGTCCAGGCTTCGTTGCTGTCGGGGGCCCCCCAACGGGGTGGTGACCACACCGTGCGGTGAGTCGGTGGGGATGCGTCAGAGGAGGAAAAGGTACCCATACCTCTACCCTTTACTCGTTTTCCCCTTTTGGGGCCTCCTCGGCGGCCCTCGTCGCCACCGCTGGATTCGTTTGGAAATTCTGGTCAGAACGCACCCCGGCAGAGGTCTGGGGAGTAACGGTATCGGTACCTTTTGGTTTCCCCAGATTCGGGGTCACCGCACGGTTTTGGGACTCGAGGCCCTCTCCGAGGACGCCTCGTGCGACAGGGGCTTCCGGGGTCCTAAGGCCGTGCGGTGACGGACCGTGCGGTGAGGTCCCTGGGGGTTCCGAGGTCACCGCACGGTCTGTCACCGCACCGTTTCGGGATTCCAAATGCTGTCCCGCGCGGCCGGAGGCGGATGGCCGATCAACGGGGGACCAGGGCCGCCAGAAGCTCTGGAGAGTTGCCCTAGGATCAGGCGATCGCTAACCTGGATCAAGGGGGGCGTGGACTTGGCGACGGGTCCCGCTTCCACGGGACATCGTAGATCTCCGCCGCCGAGCGAGGCGGCACCGGCCGCATTTTGGGGAGGGCACCTCCGCCGATCCATGGATTTGGCGACCGCGCGCCAAATCCATGGATCGCGAATCCATGTTTGCGCGCCCCTGGTAGGATTCTGATGGTCCAGCCTACTGCAGCCCTGACCACCAGCAATCATTTCGAGAACCAATGGAGTATCGAAGCTGGACGGTTTTCGCGTGTCGGGCCCTGGGAGGCGCTTCTCGTTCGGCACTCCGCCAGCGTGTCAGGTAGACACTGTTTCGACACTTTTTCGGGGTGCTCGAAGTTATTGCTGGAACGTGGTCTCTACGATGGGACCAGCATGACCCCAGGATGCAATCAGTTCCCCCCCCCACACCCCCCTCACCCGAGGAAATCACAACACTTTCGGGGTCAGGGCTGAAGCGATATCCCCCGCAGAGTCTCGGGGGCGGCTAAGAGGGGGGGTGAGGATTAGGGGCGAGTGGATATCATGGCGGGGGCCATGATCTGTCCTGAGATCTCATGGCGCCTCTTCTTCCTTCTATGCGTGCCTCGGCCCCCCCGGGGGCCGCGCACATGCCGCCGGCCATGACTTGCGCCCCCCTCTCTTGGTCGTCCCCTCTTGGACGCCCCCGATATTCCGATGGCCTATATCGACCTTCTTCGTTTGGCCAGGTCCCAGGCGAGCGGCGAAAGGAAGTATTCCCAAGCCTCCTGTGTTGGATTCTCAAGTTGAATCGAGCACTGTGGTCTCCGTCCCTCCTCCTCCTCCTCCTCCTCCTCCTCCTCCTCCTCCTCAATGGCAAGAGTGTAACGCCAGTATCTGATTAGATCGGGAACATCGAAATTTCGCGCAGAACGAAAGGGGGGGATAGGGAAAGGGGGGGTTACGAAATCTGCTGCATGCAGCTGGCTTCAGCCCCACCGAGGGGCCCATTCCTTGATACATGGCCGCCTCCGGCGCCAGGAGGCGCCGGGAAAATCAGCTACGTGAGCTGATTCTCAGACCCCCCCTTTGCTATCCCCCTCTTTCGCCCGGCCCGAAGATTGACATCTGGACTAAGCCAATTTTTTGTTGTATCGGATGTTGGCATGCGCGCGCAACCCCGCGCCCGTGTGGATATTGCATGTGTGTTATGCACGGGGTGTGTTCGAATAATTCCGACATGTGCGCGCGAGGGGTCTGTTTGGCCGCATGTTGATGAACATGTTTAAAGCCGATGATCCCCCTAAGCATCAGCAAGAGCGCGAGCATGTTTTGTCGTAACTACAATCTGGAGCGCAACCGTTGCTTGTTGAAACATTGTTGTCGGACGCTTGGTTCTTAGAATATTTATTCAACCGAGTGTTTGTCTCAAGGAATTCCGGCACGCGCGCGTGACAACGCGTGCGTGTGGTTTGTTTTGTTGTTGTTGTCGTTGTTGTTGTCGTTGTTGTTGTTGTCTCCCTCCCCTCTGTTGCAAGGGAGGTTCGGAAATGGACGATAGTTAATGATCGAGTGCCCCCGCATAGTCTTATTCGACCGGGATCGGGGTTGTCGATGCTGGCGGGGTTGGGATGGCATAGCCTCATTTTTTTAACGAGCGATGTGGCAGAGCCATATGCAAATTTTAGCATCCCAAAAGGAAGCCCAAACCCCATGGGGTGGGGATAGGTCCTAATTTCCGCTTGGGGAGGAAACTCGACGTGGTGCAATTTTATGTGGCGCAATCGATGTGTTGCGATCTACGCGGCGCAACATATATGTTGTGCAAACCACGGGCGGCGACGAGGCCTGAGGCCTGGGCCCCGCCGAGCCCCGCCGCGCACGAGGCCAAGACGACCTCGACGGGCTCCACGGCGCGCAGGTCGGCCATCTACCAGAGGGGGCCTCCTCTGCGAGGCCACCGCGCTCCGCTGCCCCTCCCCCCCAGGGCCCCCTGCGTCCCAGCCGATCCGGCTCGACGGTGCCGATCCCGGCCGGCGTCTGATGTTCGGGCGGCCCAGCGCGGTCCGATGGTTTGCCAGGTTTGTCGTGTTGGTGTTTTGGCGTGGCCGACCCATTTCGATTCCCCGTCCGTGCCGATGCGGCCCGATCCGACGCATGTTCTGATTCAGGACCCCCTCTCTGCGGGCGCTTGCCCCTATCCCTGTCGCAAACAGAGGGGGAAACCCCACGTTCAGGGGCGCCGACGGGGGGGCTGACCGAGCGGGGGTTGAATACCGACCCCCAAAAGCCTATTCATCCCCAAGACGCACTTTAATCCAAGATCCGAGATCGATGTCAGCCAGATCCGATTCGATTACTCGATTTGCCAACGATTCGTTGCAGTCCGATGCTCGCACGGCGTTGCTGTGCCTCTTGGCGCGGCTGGTCAAATCCGATTTCGACTTTGCGCGACCCACATTCCATTGCGACACGATGCCCGATTCGGTGCTGATATGTTTTGCCAGTTATGTGTCCTCGTCTTCCCCCGTCCTTCGCACTTCGCCCCCACCCCATCATCATCATCATCATCATCATCATCATCATCATCATCATCATCATCCTCATCCTCATCCTCATCCTCATCCTCATCCTCATCCTCATCCTCATCCTCATCTTCATCCTCATCCTCATCATCATCATCATCATCCTCATCATCATCATCATCACCATCATCACCATCATCACCATCATCACCATCATCACCATCATCACCATCACCATCACCATCATCATCATCATCATCATCATCATCATGATCATCAGCATTATCATTATCATCATCATCACCATCAGCATCATCATCACCATCACCATCACCATCACCATCCTCATCCTCATCCTCATCCTCATCATCGGCATCATCATCATCATCGTCATCAGCAGCATCAGCATCAGCATCATCATATTCATTTCATCATCACCAACAACAGCGCCATCGTCACTGTCATCATCATTATCAACATCATCATCATCATCATCATCAGCATCAACATCAGCATCATCAGCACCATCACCAACATCACCAACAGCATCAGCATCCACAGCAGCGTCAGCATCAGCATCATCATCATCGTTGTCGTCGTCATCATAAGTGCCATCATACTCGTCATTAACATTATTGTCGTCATCATCATCACTATCGTCATCATCATCAGCCCCACCATCATCATTACCATCACCACCACCATCACCACCACCATCAGCATCATCATCATCATCTTCATCATCATCAGCATCATCATCATCATCATCAGCATCAGCATCAGCATCAGCATCAGCATCATCATCATGGTAATCGTATTCCCGCATTCCGACATCTTTTCTCTTCCTCGCCTCCCTTCTTCCCTCCCCCGTACAGTTTTCCCCCTCTCCTCTCGATCTCCAGTACTTTGCCGATGACCGCTTCATCCCCGAAAGATGGGTTTAGGTACCCTTTAAGCCTACAGCGAGCTTGGTAATCCCCCTATCCTCCCCTCGGCCCTCTCACCATCTTCGCCCCCTATCGCCTCCCCCCCGCCCCCTTCTCCCAGCCGTCAGCCTCCGATTCGACTCCAATCAACCTCGTGTCGCTCCATAGTCTGTCACCAGGCGTGCAACGTCGTGATCTTCTCAATGCGGAACGCCCCGACGTCCCGACCCGGTCCTCGGGGCCAGCTCCTCATCCCGGAACGGTCCAGGGGCCCGCGGCGAGGGCCCAAGACGCCCCCCCCAAACGGCGAAACAAATCCCGTCAAGATCCGAGGAGGGGTTCGAATGTTGAGTGTCGGCCACGCGCAAAGGGGGGTAGGGGGGAGGGGGGGAAGGCTTCTTAGAAGCACCCCCGTTTCGTGGGCCTTGACTGTAGATGCAAGGCCCGCGCCTTCTCAGAAGCAGCCTCCCTTCTCAGGAGCCTTGATATCAGTCTTTTTTCCAACGACTGCGTCGGATAGCTCGAAGCTCGAAGCCCCTCCCCCTACCCCCCTCTGCGCGCCGCCGAGCAGTGATTTACCCCACACTTGATGTTCTTGTCGAATGTCATGATAGAACTACGTAGAATAGTCGGCAGATCCACGGAGCATCCTACGCATGCGTCGCAGGCTCGACGGGGAACGAAGTGTGGGGTGAATCGGTTATGTAGCCCATCCCCCGCTCGAGTGATTGTTGTCCTCCTCCTCCTCCTCCTCCTCCTCCTCCTCCTCCTCCTCCTTCTCCTCCTTCCGTAGCCATTTTGGCTCAAGCCGTATCGGCTCAGGGTGGTCTGCGCGACCCGCTCGGGCTGGCTCCCCCCGACCCGCTCCTCGGGTCTCCCTGCTCCCTCTCCCTCGGGCCGGGCGCGCCTCGGCCGACGGCCGCCCGCCCTCTGTCCCTCTCTATCCAGCCATGGCGGAGGTCGCTCGTGGTGCAGCCTCAGTGAACGGGCTGAGCTGCCTGAGCCGTCTCCCCCTCTGGGGGGGGGTGCGCTGCCGCCCGCGCCCGCGCCCCAGGTACAATCCGTGGTGGCTGAGCAGCTCAGCGCCTTGACGGTGATTGTGAAAGAGGGTTTCACCTCGCACAAAGCAGAGTTTGAGTTCTTTCGCCAGCAGATGACAGTGATGGGGTCCAACTTCGATCGAATGCAGGAGGAGTTCGCGGATATGAATCGTCGCTCGGAGGCTCGTTGGGCAGAGATTAAGAAATCCCAGGATGCAGCGATCCACCAGGTCTCGGTTGACACAGATGCGAAGTTGGCGGCAGTAGTGGCTAAGATCGACGTTCAGATGCAAGAGTTACAGCAAAAGCTCTCAGCAGGTTTGTCGACTCGTGCAGATTCGGAGTTCGAGCTTGTGGGAGGTGATGGGGAAGGAGGGCGTCGGACGAGGTTGAGGACGTCGGGCCCCGACCAAGCCAGCGCTACTCGTCTCATTGTTCTAGGTTGTGAGAAGCCCCTGCTGGAAGCGTCTCTCAAGGAAGCGGTGGCCCCGATTGTCGCCGCGCGTAGTCCAGCTGGTGACGGACCGATCGTTCGAGCATACCCCCTCACGAGGAAGGTGATCCTTGACTTCCCCAGTACTCTGTCGTGCGCGGCGTTCTTCGGTAAGAGCCAGACCATTGGTAAAACTGTATGCAAGAACCCGATTGATAACCAGGGCTGGGGGCTCCGTGTGCGTCGTGACTTGCCCCCCGCTAGCCGTCGGTTGTTCTACTACCTGGGACAGACTCGTGCGATCATCGGGAAGGTCTTGGGGGAGAAAGGTTTCCAGGTGGGCAGCAACGGTCTCGGCGGTCAGATACACGGTCTCATTACGGCTACCCACCCTGTGATTCTTGCGAAGGTCACGGTCCTGGAGCGCGGTCGCCCCGAACTCGCGCTGATTCCTGAGGCCCCCGGAACGTTCGGAGTAGGTGAGCACGCTGCATGCATTGCCACCCTTTTTGATCAGATTCGGCCCTTTGTGCGATGGCCCCAGTTGTCCTGGAGCTCCCCGCCTCGGGATTCCCAGTGCGCTGCCTGGTCTTTTTTGTCGGGTCCCTGGTGGTTCGGGCCCTCCCTGGGATGGTGGACCTGTCGGGGGAAACCATCGGACCCGTGTGCCGACCAGCCAGGATAGTGCTCAGCCAGCCAACCAGTGTTTGAATCTGAATTCAGGGGGACCGTTTACCCCTGGTGACCCGCCCTCTGGAGCGAACGGGGTGTTTGCTCCTTCTTCTGCGCTTACCTTGTGCTCTTGGAATGCACGTGCTCTCTTCTCACCGTACTCTACTTCGTCTCCGCTGGCAGCTCGGCGTTATAAGCAGATGCATGGTCTTGTTGGCAGGTTTGACGCTGTGTGTTTACAGGGGACTCATGGCACGGTGTCTGATGTGGAGATGTTACAGCGTGATGAACGTTGTCGTAGTGCAATTGTTCACCATTCGATGATCGATCCGAGGGCTGGGGGCGGTGCTGTTACTGTCATATCGAGCAAGCTGGCTTCGCAGTTCGAATCGATCACTCCGTTTCCGTTGATTGCTGGCCGTGTTCTCGCCTCGCACCTGAAGGGACGTTGTGGGGACCTAGTGATTGTCAATGTGCACGTGCCGAATACTTCTGATCCAGTTGCGATGTATCGCAGGTACCTGTGTGTGATTCAGGCTTTCCTTCCATTGGCTGCGCACACCATGTGCTTGATTGCTGGGGATTGGAACTTTATGGAGGTGGAGGAGGGGCGGTTTTGGACTGACGGCGCGTGGTTAGAAGGGGATAGGGAACACACTGATGCCTTTCAGTCTATTTGTGTGCCTTGGGCTGAGCTTTTCCAACCAGATCCGACACGGCGTGATGTGTTCCAGGGAGAAGTCCGTGGGGTTGCCCGTCTGGACCGCACCTACACCTCTCTCTCTCGGCTCCTGTCTTGAATGATTTGGCTTTGACGGTAAATACCCTGGGGCATGCCGTGAAGACCTTCGCCTCGTCTGACCACATCCCCGTTGTGGCCACTGTCGTTCTGAGAATGCCATCAGCCTTGCCCACCCAGATTCCTAAGTGGATTTCCCGACATGGAGCTTACCATGAGTTATGCACCAGCGCCATTATGGAAATCGACCAGGATTTGAACCCTCGGGAGAAACTGGTTCGGGTGAAGGAGATGTTCTGGCAGATGGCCCCTCTGTTCAAGGCTCGGCTTCGGTCGAAGCCCACGAAAGAGAATTGTGAGAAGCTCCACTTTGCTATGATGGCCTTCCGTGGGTGGCGGGCGCATGGGCAGGTTCGACCAGCGTGTGCGTGCGATACGCGCGCATCCTCGGTTACTTCAGTACTTTGATCCAGACCTTGAGAGATGCTTGGATATAGTCGGCTTGGGTGCATTGGTGCAGTCTCTGGAGGACGCTTGGTATGAGTCGGAGGAACGGGCGATGGACGGGTGGGGGGATGACGGGAAGTCTAATGCTAAGGCCATGGCGCGCTTGCAACACCT